CGGGACAGAAAAACAATGTGATCACTGTCACAAGATGCTAAGGAAACGATTTTGAGAACTTGCAAATAAAGAGAAGGAAGTGATCACTTCCCTTTCATCAACAGAGATCACCACTGGATAAGCAAATAGCACGTGCAAGGGGACGCATGTGCCCAGAGGAGCCCTCCAGCCAGCGGGTGCACTGCAGGCTCACGACAGATGGGTCTACGTGCTGGGTGCCCATCACCACAGCATCCCAGCTGACTACATATCTGAGAGAGGACACCACCCCGGGCAGAACACATGAGCCAAACCCAGACATGACCCAACCCCGGGACCTGGCTTTGTGTTGTACATGTTCCTTCAGGTGGCATACCGGGGATGGGAAGCCGTGACGCCCGAGCTGCCAGCAGAAGCCAAGTGGGCCCCTCCGTGCAGGGCCTCTTGAGCGTCGCCTGCAGACGCAGGACACGGCCCACGTGCAGAGGGGGCTCGGCCTCCCTGTGCTCCCCACATGCCCCCAGGGGTATGCGGTCAGCCCCCCCCCCCCAGAGTCAAGGCTCCGTGTGACAACAGAGCAGCTCCAGGGAACCAAGGGATGGGAGGGGGGGGCTGTGGGTGAGAGAGAGCTGGTGCCATGTCCTGCCTGCCACCTGACCCAAGGACAGAGCCACTGGCAAGCAGGAAAGAGGTCACCACCAGACATGGATGTCTACACCACACCTTGGATCATGATCAAATCCACTTTCCACAGCTGATGGTGGTGTTACGGCGCTCCCAAAGTCCTCGTCTTGCAGAGATGCAGCACGAACCACCCGCAGACATAGCGGTTCTGGAAGTTGCTCCAAAACCTGCAGGTGGACAATGTGAGCAGGGCCTGGGCGTGGCTGCAGAGACGTAACAACACAGGGGGCGCACCGAGGCTTGGCACGTCTCAGGTTCTCCACAAGGAAACGTGAGAGATGAGCCCACGGAGGTCACACCAGACCTCACTCCAGCTACGGATGCCTGCACGGCAGCTCCTCCAGGACATTTCTTCCTAAAACATGGGAGCCCGGCCATCCTCAGAGGCGCAGGCATGGCTGGGAGCCCAAGGTGGATGATCAAGGGCCCAGAAAGAACCCTCAGGGGACTGAGGCAGGTTTTAAGAATTTGACCCTTGGGGCAGCCCGGGTGGCTCAGCGGTTTATCATCTGCCTTTGGCCCATGGCATGCTCTGGGTGACCCGGGATCGAGTCCCACGTCGGGCTCCCTGCATGGAGCCTGCTTCTCCCTCAGCCTGTGTCTCTGCCTCTCTCTGTGTGTGTCTCTCATGAATAAATAGATGGAATCTTAAAAAAAAAAAAAAAAGAATTTGACCCTCAGTTTGGAAAGATCCCAACTTTGTGGGTGGAGATAGTCTGCGACCATGTCCCTGCATTCCCAGTTATCAACTTTGGACGCCTGCACAGATACTATCTGCTTTTACCTTACGTTCCTCTCTCTTCCCCAAAATGTCAACAAGCATGTACTGCTCTTTATAATCAGATGAGAATTCATATATCTATTTTTTTAAATAACCTGCTTTTTTTGGGGCACCTAGGTGGCTCAGCTGGTGTCTGCCTTCAGCCCAGGGTCTGATCCTGCAGACCGGGGATCGAGGCCCAGGTCGGGCTCCCCGCATGGACCCTGCTTCTCCCTCTGCCTGTGTTTCTGCCTCTCTCTGTGTGTCCATCATGGATAAATACATAAAATCTTTTTTTTTTCACCGATGCAAACATACGAGGGTTTATAAAATCTTTTAAATAAATAAATAAACACCCTGCTTTTTCTCCTCTGAATCCTTTTTTTGTTGTTTTGTTGTCCAAGGTTTATTGAAGATATTATAGCATAGCAAAAAGATTCAAACAACACCCCGTGGTGGTTTTTGTTTTTTTAAAGATTTTATTTTAAACCGCTGAGCCACCCGGGCTGCACCATCCCCGTGGTGTTTTTGAAATTCATCCCAACTGTAGGCTGAGTGACCTGCAGGTTGGACAGGCTTCCAAAGTCCAAGAGTTTCAATATCTCCTTAGTGTCAGGATCTACTTCGATGATCTCCTGATCCAGGGCTGAAACCTCAGGCACGTAATTATCCCTCCTTTCTCTCTCCTCCTCCTGCAACTTGATGGAGATGCCTCTCACCAGGCCCCGCTGAATCTGCTTCATCAGCTATGTGACATAGCCTGCGATCTTCTTGTGGAGCTTCTCGCTGGGGATGATGGCCATCTCCTCACACACGTGCTTATTGGTGTAGAAGTCATTGCCCAGGTGTTGTGTAGTGCTTCTTGATGATGACTCAGGCCACCTTCTTCACGGTTTTGGTGCACACGCAGCCCATGTTGGCGGGTATAGTAAAAGAGCTCTCCTTTGATTCCATTTATTTCTTTAATCTCAACTTCCAAGCTAAACTGCTGACCTTCAAAATTAAAAACCTCTACAGAAGACGCTCATAAAACATTGAAGCTTCCATTACTGTTTCAGGCTGCCCGCCTACTCCATGAGAACACTGGCACACGGCTACTCCAGTATCCCCGCATCGAGTACTTGACAGGGCAACTTCTCCAACGCCCCTCAGAAAGCGCTGGGCGGTGGGGGCCACGACCTTCCCCAGGGAGGCCCAGCACTGGGTCCCATGAGCCTGCAGCTCTCAGCCTGAAGCAGTCAGGGTCTCTACAACCCACACAACCCACCCTCCCACTTCTGGCTGAGGAAAGGAAAGGAAACCACATTTCACTGAAAAGCTTCCCTTAGGGACATGCTGTGTATCTCACACAAAAGTATGTAAATCAAACTAAATTCGAGAACTAAAGGTGAGTCTCAGGAATTCTCACATATCTGGCTGAGTCCCAGCATGTGGGGTTTAGGGGCAGGTCTTCGATCCAAGGTTTTGGGGCCCAGGGGTCATGAGACACAGTCCATAGAGAGGCATCCAGCCAGGCAGGGGCAGGCCCACCGTCCCGGGGGCTGCTGTGCCGAGGGGCAAGGCCGAGCCCACCACAACCCTGCCCGCGTGTCTGTCCACAGAACTCTAGCCTCACGTCAGTGTCTCCTCACGGACCCCGCGCAGGGGTGCATCACCACCGCCATGAGTCAACATGAACCTGATGGCCTAGGACAGACTCATCACCTCAGCACCTGGGAACGGGGGGCCCCATGGCCTCACCAGGCCAAAACCAGGGTGCGGTCCTTCCGAGGGTCCAGGCAAGAGCCCGCATCCTGCTCTCTTGACCTGTTGGCAGAATCAGCTGCTGAAGCTCAGGGCCCCTCATGCTCGCCGGCTGGACAGGGAGATGAGGGCCCCGGGGGGGATGAGGACCATTCCAGCCCCTCAAGCCTGCTGTACACTGGGCCCCCGCCCCTGCCCCGTGCGCCGCAGGTCCATCCCTGACCACCTCCTGTATCCCCTTCCCTTCTGAGGCCTGCACTGACACAGGGCCCCCAGACAGTCCAGGACAACCACCCCCCCAGCAGCCTTGCCTCATCATCTCTGCAGCCCTGGCTCCCGGCCATGAACGGACCTGGGCTCCTTGCATCTGCTCATCACAGAGAAGTCATTTGTTACGATGCAGGTGGCAGCCCTGTCCCTAGAACCTGGGATTTGCTATTTTAACTGAATCCATTCTAGTGAATCAGAAATACTCCTCCTGGAGGGATTTATACACAACAGAAGACAGTAAGACGGAGCGAGAACCCAGCGCCCTGCTCACCCTCACCTGCGAATCAACCAGAAGACCTGCATTTCAATGAGGTCACCAAGATGTTGGACCCAGACCCCACGCCATGGCCTGGACACATGCAGCCACCGTATGTGACCCCCACTCACCAGAGCCTTCGCGCAATTTCCAACAGGATCAGACGCCCAGTCTCACATTTCAGAGCCTGAGGCACAGGGGACAGCATGCATCCTCCTCTGCCCATCCCTCATCCGTGGGTGAGAACGACCGAGCCCACGGCACCTTGGCACTGCAGTGAGGGAGGGCCCTTGGGTCACGGGGGATGGGGGCAGAGAAGGTAATGCCACCCGCCCCCAGGCTGGGGTCAGCCCTGCTCTCAGCCCTGCATCCCCTCACAGCAGGGAAATGAGATCAGACCCGAAGAGGAGACGGTCACAAAGCAGACAGGTGGTCTCCGTGGTACAGGGATGCTCCTGGGCCAGGGCTGCCTGTCAGAGCCACAGGCTGACCTATTTTCTATGAAAACTGACATCGGCCTCCCTTTACCTCACTCTAAAAACAGAAGCCACACAGAGGAAAGGATCCGCTTGCATGGCAAGAACAGGCTCAGGGATAGAAACGCAGGAGCTCACGTCCCCAGGAGCCTCACGCCCAACCAACCGGTGGGAACGGTCGTGGGAGGAAGCGTGGACAGTAAACACACATGGATCAAAGTGAGGGCTGTGTTCCCCCTCCTGCTGGAGAACTGGAGGAAGGCCTCTGCCCTCCACCCTCAGACACACAGCAGCCCAGCAGGAGCTTCTTTAAAGGAAAAGGCAAAAGCAGAGAGGACATTCTATTCCCCAAGGCTCAGGGTCACGGAGCAGCATGTCCTCGTCCGGCTGGATCGCCCCCCAAGGGCCCAATCAGGCCACGACCCCGCCAGACCACGAACACGACTGTGGGTGAACGTGTAACAGGGGACAGGAGAGAGCCCAGTTCCCTCAGCCACAGGCCCCCAGTACCCGCGAGGCAAAGCCACACACGGAGAGAAAATCGTCCTCTTGGGTGATGTCCTCTGACCTGGTCGGGCCAAGGAGACACCAGCACCCGACCCCAATTCAGCAGCCCCACATGACCATCACGGGGACAGGAACACAGACTGTTAATAATTTGCCCAAATTCCAGGGAAGCAGTGGTAACATTTTAAATAAACACGGAGCACAAGGAAATCACAAACATCCGTCTGCGGCAGCCAGAGCCGCTGGGGTAGCAGCCAACCCCACACCCGGGGCAAGCGTGGCTTGTGGACTTAGTGCTTTATTCCCAAAGTTGCACATCACCAACCTGCAAAGAAACGGCGTTTTACGTTCAGCTCATTTGTCACGCGGACTTCAGTGCACAGCTTCAACATCAGTAACATGGTCAAGATCATGACTATGCTCTGCCAGAGGAGCGGCGACTCAAAATGCCTTCCAAACCTGGGGAGGTAAAGAGACCATGGTGTCAGGAGGGCCCTTGGACACCTGGGGCTCATGGCCCTTCCCTGCCCAGGTCCCAACCCAGGCCCCACGGCCACCTCCTGAGCGGCCCCCAGTACTCTCATCTGTCACAGCCAGCAGCCCTGAGTGCCGAGCCCTCCACACTCCACAGAAGACGGCAGGGCAGGCGGGGTGTGAGCACTCCTGGACAGTCGGGCCAAACTCCATGACAGCCCTCTGCATGGACACCTCTCGAGAGCCACACTTCCCCCGCCCCCGGGAGCCACGGATGATGGTGTGAGTGGGCCTCCGAGCTCTCTCACCACACAGCCAGGTGCCCACCACAGAGACCCCAGCCCCCACTGGGAAGCTCATGGCTCCAAGACCACCTGATTCCCTGGGAGAGTCCAGGGGCAACAGGAAGCCTGCCTCCTCCTGAGATGAGCAGGGGCAGCAGGGTCAGAGGCCAGAGCAGCCCATGGTATGAGCAGACTTTGGGGACCCAGGGTATCCCCAACCAGAGGAGAAGGCAGCTGAGGGCACAGCCTCCCTCTCCCCCTGAGGCCCTGACATCCTGTCCAGGCCTCCTGCCCACTGTCCTCCTCCTGCCCCCGCCCAGGCCTCCTGCCCACTATCTACCCCCCACCCCTGCCCAGGCCTCCTACCCACTGTCCACCTCCTGCCCAGGCCTCCTGCCCAGCTCTCATGCCTTCCTGTTGATGCTTTTCTAGTGGTGAAGTGTGTTGTCCACTCAAGCTCCTGATGGTGAGAACCACAGCCTAGTGACCAGCACAAGCTGACCCATCACCAGACCCCAAGCCCCGGGGGCTGAGAATAGGACTGCCCTCCACACACCAGCTGGGTCTCCGCTATGGCCACCAGAACCACTGGCGCCATGACACGTTGACCCAGGCCCCTCTCCAGGGCTAGGCCTGGATTGACCGGACATCCTTTGAGGCCCCAACCCCAGTTCTAGCCTGAATATTCTGGGGCAGGAAACCCACCAGGTCTGGCTACAACGTTGCCTGAAGGGACATCCCTGAAACTCGAGCCGGTGGTCAACACACCGAAGCCAGGAGGCCCTGCATGCAGTCCACTCTCCCAGCTGCTGCTGAAAAGCAGAAGATGCAAAGAAACACCCTCAGCCCCACCTCCTGTCCCTCACTCTGGCCCAAGTCTACACCCTGCTCCCCCCACAGAGAGATGGCTACCAGGAGCTGGCCGCCAAGGCTCGGGAGGAGCGTACCCACAACACAGAGTGGGGAAGAGCTCCCCGCGGGCCTGGGCCTGGGCATAGGTGTTCCCAGAGACACCACCTGCCGGCCAGCGGCCACAAGAATTACACTGAAGCAGTGAGCAATCACGACAGGACCTTAGCGGCCAGGCTTCTGTGGGATGAGGTTCGACACGGCCGCTCCTTCAGCCCAAGAGCACGTCTTGCAAAAGTTTGTCTACACGGTAAGAAGATCTACCTACACGGTAAGGAAAACACAATGTTCCTTAACGTAGAGGAACTGACCCTCGTGTGTGCCCTGGTGCCTCGGGCAGCTTCTTCAAGCCCAAGTTTGTGAACGCACTTCGCTGCAGGAGTTTAACCCACCTGAGGGCCTCTCAGGGCCCTGCACGCCTGACAGGATGCGCCCCACCTGGGGCAAGCTGGCCCAGGGGTGAGAAGGTGCCACCTGGAGGGGAGCCATCCCCCAGTAAGGACCCCCGGGGAGGTCAGGCAACCAGGAAAAGCCAGCATTTCCGTGGGGAGTGAGGGGCCAAGACACCTGAGCCGGGACGAGCATTCTGCACTGGTCCCAGAGGTGAGTGCCTGGTGCACATCCCCTGAGCAAAAGACAGAACAGGCCGGAGGTCACAGAGGTTCGGGCTCATGCCACTTGGGCCCAGGAAGGGCAGAGGAGCCAGGATGCAGACAGTGGACAGCTCCACGACCACCAGAGTCCTCCGGTCTCCCCAGGAAGTGTCACCTAGGATCCTGCTGCTCCATCTGAGCTGCTTCAGGAAACACAGGAAAGAAGCTAAAATGCTAGGCCAGAGCCAGAACAGGCTGATAAGCCAGATTGGAGTAATGAGGAGGTGCAGCCAGGAGCACCTGCGGGTGCCCTGGGGCTTCCTAAGCCAGTGGCATGGGCTGGAGGGCTCACAGACTCCACCACAGGGGCTCCAGGGCCTGAGCCTTGTCTCTTCTCTAAAGTGCGGCTAGAACCTCTACTTAAGGACCTTTCTAGTCATTTCTAGGAACTGGATCCCACTGGTTACCTAGCTGACCCGAGGTCAACTCATTGTTAGGAAAAGGTCAGACAAGGGCGCAGCCCAAGTTCAATGTCTGCCAAATGAGACGGGGATGCCTCCATCCTGCACAGGTGGGAAGAATAAGTTACTCTGGGGTTCCTCACCACAAGCTTATTTCCAGTTTTAAGGTTGAGGATGTGCAACTTGGGCCATTTTGTGAGAAAGGCCACTTGTTTTTTTAACACTCAACAGAAATGGTGATTAGAAAAACCATGGGCCAAGAAATCAAGGTTTGCATGTTCCCATAAACCATACACCAAAACTGAATCCAGGTGAACTCAGTGCTTACAATAAAAACAAGACCATTTAAAGCAGGAGGGAGGGAGCAGAGGTGATAATTAACCGATTTTAGAAATACAAGCTAAATGAGATACAAAATTGCAAAAAGCACAACTTTCCACAAATATACGAGACAAAGTAAATATGAAACAAGGTTCAGGTCATCAGTCATTTTTAACGGTTAATTAAAATAGAAAGATACCATTTTTCACATGTTAAATTGCTGAAGGCTTTTCTTCCTTCACAGCCAATGACCTAAACCGACGGCAACGTCTACTCTCCTCTCTGGCCGGAGAGTGCAGGTGCGCATGTCTCAGGAGAGGTGATGGGCCCACTGGGACAAGCCAGAGCAAGGGCGCCCAGGAACACTGTGCACCTGTCTCCCCCAGGACGGTACAGGCTGCGGAGGGCAAGCCACCGCGTCTGAGCTGCTTCCCACAGGAAACACCCCTCAGGTCTTCAGAGTTATGGGAAAGCTCAAGTGGAAAGAAGTTGTGTATCTACTTTCCTGTGTCACACTGCTCCATCTTAGCGAGTGTCACTACGTGCTCAGCGGTGCAGCCCCTCTGACAGGATGTCACTGCACCTGTGACACAATGTCAGGGCACCTGTGATACAGTGTTACTACATCTCCAATAGGCCCTGCCACTTATTTTGGACACAAAGTCACTGCATCTGACACAGTGTTACTACAGGTGACTACATCTCTGAGACAATGTTTCCACCCAATGCAAGTGAGCTTCAAGACTATCTCCCTGGTTGCCCAAGGCTCTGGCCAGGAAGGCCTTGCAATGCTGTCCACTCACCCTGGCCTCCGCCCTCCCATCCTCTACAGAATCACAAGCCTGCAAGTATCAGTTCCAAGGCTCCATGAATCCCTTCTCCTGACGCTGCTCTTCTGAGGCAAAATCCTACACATCAGCACTTCACAGACTATTATCTGCCGAATGCTTGTTTTGCAAAAGGACGATGAGAATCGTACAAAAGGAAGTAGAGGTGCACAAGTTTCAGAAACCCAGGCTTTACATGGCCCAGCTGGCCTCGCTGCAGGACTGTGAAGCTGCTCCCAAGTCTTGCACCCCACATCTGTGGGCAGATCCTGGACTAGAGCTGAGGTGTCAGCCAACTCCAGGAAACGCACTCCTCAGTTCTAAGCAGGACCACTGGTGTAGACCCTGCTCCATGTCACCTGGAGCCTCCATCACCCATACATGTGTGCGTGGTCCCCTCCACACGATGCTTCCACTGAAGTGAAGCCCCACAGCCTCCAGACCAGTCTCCAACCCTACTGAGTCCTACGGGGGCCATCCGTGAAGCATGGAGGACCCAGGAGCGAGACAGAAAAGGGAGGCTGCGAATCACCGTCAGAGGGGCAGGATCCAGGCTGGGGCACGGAGGTACATGTCACCTACAGCCTTCACTGGAGCCCGGCCTATCCCGGGTTCACACGGGAACCCCAAGTACCAGACTACATGAAATGCAGGAAAAGTGCATCCCTGGGCCGGGGAGACGCGAGGAGGGACTAGTGCACCGCCAGCTGCCACATCTCCTAGAACCTGGTAGAGGCAGCCAACCGAGGTGACCCAGGGCGGCCCAGGCCACGGACTTGGGGAAGGACAGACAGACTCGCCAACAGACAGAGCTCAGAATCACACAACCGGCCGCCCACACCGGGTTAGGAGGGAACACAAGGCTGGTCTGAGGTCCGCGGGGGGAGAGAACTCCCGGTCCACATGCGAGGACTCGGGGTCCCCTTCTGACCTCTCCACCCAAGGTACCTGGGTGTGTGTCACATATTCTATCCTCTCGCTGTGATCGTGAAGGACACACCTGGGGTTTTCCCCAGGGGAAGCTGACCTCAGGCCCCCCCACTGTGAGAGAAAATCTGCTCCTCCACCTGAGTCTGGGACTCCGAGCAGCCCTCGGGGTACTCAGCTCACCGTTCAGCTACCATTGGACTTCAGGACCTGCCTCCGGTCAACCTTGACAGGATCAAGGCTGTTTCACAAGGAAGAAGCCACGTGCCACTTTGAAGAGCGGTCTCTGCCCTCAGCCACAGGAAAACAAGGAACCTTCAAAATGTGAGTTTTCAACTTGTGCCAAGGAAACAAACATATAAGCAGCGCTGACTCCTTGTTCCAAGGCAGCCTCGCCCAGAGACAAACCTGGTGACACGATAAGTCCTCCCGGCAGGAGCTGCCTCATCACCTCACCTTTAAAAGCCCCAGACGAGGGCAAAACTAACACAGTGAAAATGGGTGCAAGGTGGCCTGGAGCCACAGCTGGATGGGATGGAAAGGAGCAAAGCTCTGGTGACAGGAAGGGGACGTTGTCAAACCCACCAAACTGTACACTCACAGTGGTCAATTCTAGTTAAATCATACCTCAGCCAGACTGAGTTAAAAATGAATTAGCAAAAAACAGGATTACTCAGTGACCAAAATGCCAAGAGGAGGGGCACCTGGGTGGCTCAGTCTGTCATGTGTCCAGTGGAGATCATGATCTCCAGGTCATGAGATCTAGCTCCCCCTCCCCCCCAGCTCTGTACTGGACGCCCAGTCCCTCCAGGATATTCCCCTGCTCCTCCACCACCTCCCTCCCTCTCTTAAAGAAAATGAGGCTACGGGATCCCTGGGTGGCTCAGCGATTTAACCTCTGCCTTCGGCCCAGGGCGTGATCCTGGGATCCCGGGATTGAGTCCTGCATCGGGCTGCCTGCATGGAGCCTGCTTCTCCCTCTGCCTGTGTCTCTGCCTCTCTCTCTCTCTCTCTCTCTCTCTCTCATGAATAAATAAAATCTTAAAAAAAAAAAAAAGCTATAAGACATCATTTCATTTCCTCTGAAACTTCCCCCTCCCAGACAAGTCTGGCTTTAGCAGCGAGTTCCTCACCACAATGCAAATGATAATAAGAGGAAGCTGAGCAGGGAGTGGCAAGAATTACCCAGAAAGTTGACTTTCCTATTAAAACAAAACAAAACCACACACACCAGAGAAGGCGGAGGGAACAGCCTTCCCTGCACATGGCTCCTGAGCACTCTTTCCTGTCAGGCCCCGAGGTCCCCTCCCAAGGGCTCAGTGGCCAGGATGAAGCTCCCTTCCTACAGCTCTTCATCTTTTGTTAGTCTTCATCGCTTCTTCATTCTGTTTCTCCCTCCCACTCCCGTGGAAACCCTGAGGGCAGGGACCCAGTCCCAGGACCTTGCCCAACATCCAGGAGCCTGTGGGAACATATACGATGATATATGAGTGACAGCTGCAGATATGAAGGTTACAGGTCAGACTGTCCACTCCCATCCCACCATCATCCCTGGGAAATAGTGTCATGCACGTCACCAGCTCCTTTTAGAAGTACACACACTGCGGCCACCACCCCACCCGGAATCCCCACAGAGAGAAAGCCATCTCTCTGGAAGCCCCCGACTCACCAGAAGAGTATCCGTAAAATATTAGCCACCAGGAGCACCAGGCACACGTAGGTAGAGAAGCCCTCGGCATTCTGAGTCCTCCGGATGTCCCTGTACTGGGGGATATAGGGCACCACCCCTCCGAAGACCATGGCCCCGGCTGCCCCCCAGGAAACCAGCTGGTGCAAGGGGACCAGAAGCCAATCCAAGCCTTCCGCCTCCATTCCGGTGTTCCCCGGGCGGGCGGGTCTCTGCTCTCAGGCCTCCCGGCGCCCCCGCATCGCTGCAGCCGCCGGGTGCGGAGCCTGGCAGGACAGGACAGGAGGTGAGGACGCCGGGGGGAGGGGAGCCTCGAGGTCAGTGGGTTGCTCCCAGAGCTGCGCCACGACCCCTCCTCCGGCACCGGCGCCCCAGGGAGCTCCCGCGCGCAACCCGGCACCCAGGGGACGGAGGTGCGGGGCGCACGGCGGGGGACGCGGGACCGGGGCTTGCGGGCTCACTCAGTCGGGGGGAGGCTCCGTTCCCGAGGGGGGGCCCACACACGGCCGAGGGGGCGGAGCACGCTCCACCCGGGGCGAGCACGCTCAGTCCGGGGAGCGCGCCCGCGGGGGAGGGAGGTGGCTGCTCCTGGGCCAGGACGCACGGCCGGGCGGGGGGTGGCGCACGGAGGCCGAGGGGCTCGGGGCTGGGACCCGCCCGCCCCGCCCCGCCCCGCCCCACACCCTGCACCCCTGCACCCCGAGCCAGGAGCGCACGCCCGCACACACACACCCACGCTGCGCCCGCGTCCACACGCGGCTGCGGATCCCGAGCCCAACCCTTACCACCGCGCCCGCGCCCGCCGGCCCCGCCCGGTCCGTCCTGCTTCCTCCGTCCGTCTGTCCGTCCGGGCGCCGCAGCCCCGCCTCCGCGTGACGTCACAATGCAGGAGTCCCGCCCACCGGGCCGGGCGGTGTTAGGTCCTAGAGAGCACCGGGCGGGCAGGGAGGGGTCGGGGCTTGGGGTCACGGTGGCCACGCCGCTCCGCCGGCCCTCCCCACCCCGGTTAGGAAGCGCCTGCCTGGGGAGGCCGCTCCTACACAGCCAGGGACGCGTGAACGCGTCCGCACCTGCGCCCGGGCGAGGGGCGGTGTGCACGCGGCGCGCCACGGAGAGCAGAGGACCCGGTCCTGTCTCTGGCCCAGGTCTGCGCGAGGCCGGGACCCCCCCTCTTGGGGACCCGGGCAGGGCCTGAGCGCCCCCAGGTAATCCCAGCGGTCCTTCCACCGCTGCATTTTCTAACGAGTCGCGGTGGGGATGAGGGGGCTCCCAGGGTAGTGGGGGGGCTCCGGAGTGCGGGAGGGGCTCCTGGGGTGGAGGGAGGGGCTCCGGAGTGTAGGCGGGGCCCCTGGGGTAGCGGGGGTGGGTGGGTGGGAGGGGCTTCCGGGGTGGGGCTCCAAGGGTGGGGGTGGGAGGCTCCCATAGTATGGGAGGGGCTCCTGGGGGGCGGTTCCCGGGGGAGGGGCTCTTGGGTGGGGGAATAGGGGACTCCCCCGGTTGGCGGGAAAGGCTCGCGGGGTGAGGGGGGGTTCCCCATCTTGATGCGCGGTGAGCCCCGGGGCAGCAGGAGTCAGACATTGTGGTGACAGGAGGTTAACCTGGTCTCTGGTGAGGTGAAGTGCGGCCCTTCTGGGGCCCTGGGCCCCTGTCACTTCCACACATGTGCCGCGGCCCAGGGCAGCGCCAGGACTACCTCTCAGGGCACAGAGCCCCCACTGACAGATAAAACAGGATCTCCGGAGTTCCCTGACCAAGGGGCGCCCCAGAGCCCTGCTGCAGGTGCACTGCACGTGCGTGAAGCCCAGGCCCGGGTTGGATGGAGGAGCAGCGGGGGCCCTGGTGAGAAGCCATACGCCCATGGACCCAAGACCCTTGCAGGTGGGATTGGGGGGAGAGAAGACCAACCACAGGGCCCCAGGACTTAACAACCACAGCCCTGAAACCTCCCAAAAGGGAAGGCCTGGTGATGACAAACAGTGACCCTGGGACCCCACACTGGCTGCAGCCTTCCCGCCCCAGGTGCAGCCTGTCCTCCTGCTTCCTACCCTAGGTTTTATGAGAAATCATGGGAACAGCTCCAACGCGAGACTAACTGCCAAGTTAGCCTGGGGTAACCAGGAGGACCTCAGTAGAGCACAGGCCCACTCAGTCCCCTCCAATCTCTGAGGCTGACCTTAGGGATTTCTGAGTCATTGCTACTCAAAATATCCCCAGGAAGCAAGCGTCAGGAATGTATGGGGGAAAAACACCACAGACACAGACAAGGAAGCCATGGCAGGACTAAGAGGGGGGAAAATGGGTGTTCCTCTGTAGCCACCACCTCCCCTGAGCTCTGAAGACCCTGGAATGTTTCACTCTGTTCTGGAGGTTGTAGTAAGGCCATAGGAGTATCTGGGTCACAGCTGCTGATCCTGTTAGTCCTGGCAGATGCAAGCAAATTGATCACCAGCCCATAGCCAGCTGTTGTTCCAGCTCCATCAAAGTGTGTGGAGCACCGACACCAGACAGCATTGCCAGGGCCCAGCATTCTTTTTTTTTTTTTAAGATGTATTTTTATTTATGATAGACACACACACACAGAGAGAGAGAGAGAGAGAGAGAGGCAGAGAAACAGGCAGAGGGAGAAGCAGGCTCCATGCCGGAGCCCGACGCAGGACTCGATCCAGGGATCCCAGGTCCAGCATTCTTGGTCTAGGACTTCAACCCAAAAAGGTCTCCAGTAAAGTGAGCCGATGACTAGAGAGTTAATTAGTGTCCTTTTAAACACCAACTGTCGGGACACATGGGTGGCTCAGGGGTTGAGCATCTGCCCTTGGCTCAGGGTGTGATCCCATGGTCCTGGTATTGAGTCCCACATTGGGCTCCCCATAGGGAGCCTGCTTCTCCCTCTGCCTATGTCTCCGCCTCTCTCTGTGTCTCTCATGAATAAATAAATAAACATCAACTGTTTGGAATCAGAGTGGCACTGCCTGGTTAGAACCATCCATCAAGCAGAAAGGATGACAGTTGATCTGAGATGCTGCATGTGACCCAAGGCTTCCTGCGTTCCCAAACAAAAGAAGACAATCAAGCTATGCTAGGCCAGAAAATGGCCCCCAAATGCATCATCCTAATTCCCAGGACCTATGAATGCTACCTTATTAAAAAAAAAAAAAAAATGCAGGGCACCTGGCTAATTCAGATGGTGGAACATGTGATTGGATCTGGGGTGACTTGAGATGACTTAAAAATAAAACTTTTTAGAGCAGCCTGGGTAGCTCGGCGATTTGGCACCACCTTCGGCCCGGGGTGTGATCCTGGAGTTGCAGGTTCGAGTCCCATGTTGGGCTCCACCCGTGGAGCTGCTTCTCTCTCTCTCTCTCTCTCTCTCTCTCTCTCTCTCATGAATAAATAAAATCTTAAAAATAAATAAATAAAAATAAAACTTTTTAAAAATAAAATTAAAATCTCCTTAAAAATGCAGGTGTGATTAAGTTAAGGATCTTGCTATAGGGAGATCATCCTGTATTGTCCAGGTGGGCCCTGAGTGTCATGTCATGTGTCCCTATTAGCGGAAGCAGAAGGAAGTGTGACCCACCACGGAGAAGACTGCGTAAAGAGGGAGCAGAGAGGCATGAAGACTGGTTGGGGGCCACCCTACACCAGGGGATGCCGGCAGCCCCCGAAGCTGGAAGAGGAGGGTTTTCCCAGGAGCCTCCAGAAGGAGCACAGCCCTGCCCATACCCTGATTCTGGTCTTATAAAATGGATTTTGGACTTCTGGCCTAACGCTATGAGGGAATAAGCCAGCCAGTCTGTGGTGATTGGTTACAGCAGCCACCAGAAGCAAATGCAGAGGCCCCAGTGAGAGACCAACAGGATAGCGGGAGCCGGCCCAGAGGAGAGGAAGGACCCCCCCCCCCCCGCCACCCGCAGCAGGGCCACAGGGTTGACAGGTAATGCCAGGAACATTCCAGAACTATTTCAAGCTCTGTCAGTCATGGGGCACCCGGAGGCTCAGTCAGTTAAGTGTTGGACTGTTGATTTCAGCTCAGGTCATGATGTCACGGTGAGATGGAGCCCGACCTCAGTCCCTATGCTGTGTGGGGCCGACTCCCTCAAGTATGTGCTCACTCTCTTCCTAAAATTATAAAAATTGTTTAAAAAATTGTTAAAAAGCTTCATTAATCGGCCAAGAGAAAATAGAAAACAACTGCCTGAAATAAGGTTTCCGTGTAGGAGATCTTCACGAACCCTGCTTCAGGCCCATTTCCATGCCTTACTGGGGAGAGAGCAAAGAGATGCCTGGTGATGCAGCCCACAGGACCGGGCAGGGCCTGGTCTTCACGCTGCACCTGAGAGCTCAGCACTGTTGCTGCCTTGTTGGAACTACTTTGCAGCTTTTCCTTTGGAAACTTAACCAGAAAGTGTGAAAGGTACTAGTGACTGAGCAACAGAGTGTGTTTTGAGTTTTAAAATATCTTCAGAAAAACACATGCAGTTCTTAACGATGTATTAATGATCGTATGACGTGAAAGGAAGGAGGAGGGAGGGAGGAAAGAAAGACAATCAGGGAGACGGACAGCCCAGGAAAACTGGTGAGACCAAGGAAGCCGGCCTGCAGCTCGCAGCCCTGTGGTGACACTGGCATGGACAGCGGTCTGCGGCTGCAGAGGGTATTGTTACCCAGGAGGCACCTGGGCGTTGCACACGCACCAGGGACTGGAGTAACAGGCTGGGCAGAAGGACAGCATACAAGCCAATGCCAGAAACGCTTGTAAGTGAAGGATGCAAGAACAGCCAGAGTCACAGGTTTGTTCAAAGAATTATTTTATAAAACATTCTGAGAGAAAGGTAACCCATAGTGAAGCTAAACTGAGTAAAGAGAAAGATAAAGTCTGGATTTGACCAAATCTAAAGAGAAAATACCAGAACGAGCGCGCTCAGTTACTACAGAAGCAGAGTCCAGGCCTGTGCAACCTACGGGCTCAAAGACCAGAAAGGATTCTACTTATTTTTCAAAAACTGAAATGGAGGGTCTGCCTTGAGTTGGTCCTGCTGCACAGCTGGCATGTCATGAGCAGGAAAGAGACCAGAGGAGGCATAAGAGGCTGTCTGTCTCATGCTCAACACGCTTCCTTAATAATTGGAATAGAGAATGTTTCAGATACAAACTGAGTAATAAGACACCAGCCACACACGAGATGGGGAAAAAAAAAAAGAAATTGGAACATGACTCTTTTTAAGATTCTTGGCTAAAAATCCACTGAAAAAAGAATATAAGATCTTGGAGTTGAAAAAAAAAGCAGAGATGTATAATGAGCTGTATGAAGCAGAAATAGGCATCTGCAAAGGGAACTGTCTCAAGAAGAGGAGGAAGGATCACGGAGTCAACTGAAGGCATGAGCGGCAGAGGAACACGTGCTTCCAGGCGGACTCAGCACGTGGAGGAGGGTGAGCAGGCGCAGGCAATCTGTGTGGACTTGGCATGGCCACCACCACAAGGCCCAGCACAGCTGGCCTCACCGCTGCTGGCGCAGCCCCAAGAACTTTTGTGGAGAGAAGATGTGTAAATTCACACAAGGACAGCAGGCAAAGGCAACGCTGGGCGCTAAGCTAGTAGTGCATACACACCAGCATGCAAACACGTGCAGACACTCGCA